AGGCGAATGTACAGGGATTCAACTCTTCAATGAAACATGTAAGGATGTTTGGACTGATATAGATTCCACAAAGGCTGTAGCTTTACAGTAGAACAATAGATGTACATAGAAAAATATATAGTCAATATATTTTTAGCACTTAAGTCATTCAAATAAAGAATAAAGCTCACGGCTACATATGTGGGACAAGCAGCTGCTCACTGGAGTTTATCATTTCAACACCTGCATCTCTTTATTCCACTTGTCTGCTCAATACAAATACATTAATATACGACAGTTAATATGTCTTGCGATCGATCCTAATAATAACTATTATGCTGCATGTGCTGAAATGACACATCCTGAGTGGAATGGAAAATAAAATAACCTGAAATAAAAGCTATAGAAAGCAAACAGATCTGAAACATGTACACAAGCTTTTCTTTACATTTCATAACGGCAACATTGCTATAACTTTTTCTGCTATAAATTTAACCACGTATTGTGGCATTGTATGAAGGCGACACGTTACTAAAAACCAACGTCCTACAAAATATGTTCATCTACATTTTTGCACAAAGGAAATATGTCTCGGAGGAGGTGTAATAATGTTCTGACGCAGATATTCTTCATCATATTAAACAACACAAAGTGATTTTCTGTAAAATATCCATTGGTTTACTGTGGTATCCTGTCATGTACTTAAGCAAACTTATGCGAAATTGCAAGATATGAAGGCTGTTATTGTGAAAGGTCCATATCCATGTTGGAAAGTAGCAAAGACAAATGCTATTTGTACTGTATTTGATTAATTATACATGTGCAGCGAGTTTCAGTATTGTGGTGTGTATTTACTTAGGTTAGATGCTTATGCTTGCTGTTAACAAAAAGCACACAGAATGCACAAAACACCTCTTACTCATCAGTCAATGTTGGATGTAGAGTAATGGTAATAATGGTAGAATCATTTTAGTCACTACAATCACTTTGTGCTTCCCTCTCAGAAATCACATAAAATGTCCTTTTACAAACATATTAAATACAGTTAATAACATTTTACATTCAATGTGAGATAAGTTTGCCCTTCAGTATAATTTAGACAGGCTGACAACAGGTTTATAGAATATACTCAACAAGGCAAAGCGGCTTTGTTAAACTCTTAAAGATCAGCCAGAGTGCTCTTGCATAAAATCAGCAGGGAAAACACTGATGGCTCTTCCAACTGTGTGGATGACTGACAGCCTGGTGTTAAAGTGTTAACCCTGAAGATCGTCCCTTTTGATGGATTAACTGATCGGATATAGAAAACTGATAAACTACAACATAATAACCAATTACCTGTTTAATCGGTTTAAACACGGTGGCTGATTTTATCTTGGGATGAACCATCGTTAATTGCTCGTCGACAAAAAAATGCAGAGGAGAGTGGGTGTATGTATTATTTATGGATAGTTGTATAACCTCTATGTACAATGAATTTGAAAATATATTTGCTTTACTGCATAAGAAAATGAATGTTGTATCTTGAAGCTAGAGCCAGAAATCGATTGGCTGAGCTTGGCATAAGGAATAGTCTTCTTCTTTTCATTTTCTAGGGTAATTTGAATCGGCGTACAATACACTCAAAATATCAAAGATTAAACTTAAATTCCAAATGAACAGAAGTAAAAACTTTTACCTCTTGGTCTACAGGAATCATGGGAGTCACATCAAGCCAAGAAATAACCCGGAGGTTGAGGCAGAAAATGTGGAAACAGACATGAAACAGGGACATGAACCTGTGCTCATGTTCATTTCACAAAGAAAGATAAGAAATTCATCTTTCCATGTTTATCAAATGCATCCTGGAGGATGGCAGTGGTCCTGAAAATAGCCAGATGAAAATGTGTTGTAACTGTACTGTTGCCTACGAGTAACAGTCCAACCACGGATTAGTGGGCATTTGACAACCTGTCAGAATGATTCCCATCATTCAGTTTGGGTTTGGGTTGAGAAACTCTCCATTCCACAAACCTGACATGTAGAAGAAGATAATCAAAGACCAAAGTCACTCTAATGTCTACAGGAGAGCAAACAGCAACACCCATAGACCGTACCAGTCACTCTAAATATGAAGGCATCAGAAGCTACAAAACAAACATAGAAAATATTAACATCATGAAACAGCAAGTCTTCATTGAAACTGGGCACACACATCCTTTTGAGTTAAGACCTGCAATGAAAAGAAACATTTTTCAACATTTTTGTGAAAGAAAATCTTAGTTATAGTTTTAAATGAGGATAAACTGGAAAAAAACGTCTGGTTCATCATAGCTGATTAAAAGTAGGTCATACTCTGTGGTGCCTCCTGCAGGCAAGTCTCACTTCAAGATTTGAAGGTGTTTTGTTATAAC